GAAAAGGTGGACAAAATTCTAAAAAATGAAAATTTGAGTTAGGGATATTTGATCTAGGGATTTGGTAGAGGAATGTTTGATTTATACAATTGTAAAAGTAGATGGAGCTACCGTTCGTACCTGCCCTGTCGCTTGAGTTTAAAATTAACCTTTGTTTAAATCGCGTGAGTTGAGCAATAAAACAAAGAAAATTATTGTTATTTATAAGTCAAATAAATTGATATTGAAGTGTTTAATTTTAATTTTATAAAATGGATATGATTCCTGGAGGTACGTAGAACATGGTTTTACTATGATACTACATAAATGTAATGTCTATCTTGTTGAAATGAGGCATGATTCGGTGCCCATACAAAAACATAGTAATTTAAAAAACTTTTATCTTCAAGTAGACGAAATGTTACATATAACGCAATATAAAGCTAAAATCCAAGTTTAGAGCTTTAGTTCACACTTATTTTACTAAATTCACAAAAATTGACTGCTAATATCTGCTATTCTTCTTCTAACAATTACAGGATCTAATGATAAACAATTACAGTACTCTCGAAAACAAGTATTCCTAATTATTAAAAATCATTTAAAAGAGAAATTAACCGTTATATTGAAACATTTAGAAGAAAACATTTCTGAGAAAAGTGGATATTCGATACATATACATGAAAACATGAAGCCCTCTTTTTCGGCATTATTTCATCGATTCAGATTTTTCTGGCAAAATGTCACAAGAAGAGAGGAGTTATTTTTTAAAAAATATGCAGAATTTCTTAATGCGCCCGTTTTCTTTTCGATAACTACTGCTTCTCCAAATACACCGACCAATAAAAGAGGTCGTCCTTCTGCGGAGTTTGCGTCTCTTTCTGAAAGGTCAAAACGAAGAAAGACCAAAAAAATTATCCCAGGTAGAACACAAAGTCATAATAAGATCAAAATGACATCAAGAAGGAGTCATTTTAGGAAAAATCATAATGATGTCATTCGATACATTTTTAATGACGATTTCGTGACGAATTATTGACATGACAATGATTTTTAGGTGACTTTTTAACTATGTATGTATATATATATATATATCGAAAAATAAATCACGATTACGTCAAAATAATGTCAAAATGATTAAGAAATGATGAAATCATGATAAACAATTGAGTATTATAATCATTTTCTACTCCTTTTGATATCATTTTGATGTCCTTATAATTTGTCGCATTCAGCAAAATATTTTGTAACTGCAGTTAAGTTTTTTTTGTTGAGATAGAACCATTTCTTTAATTTATCTAAAGATACAATCCAACCTCAATAAAAAAAACTTCCAACAGATGCAAAATAAATGTTCGTCTGAATGCATTGTTTCACTTGAAATTTATATAATTATATTATTTGTCAAAAAGGAAACAAAAAGCGTAATAGAATTTTATTTTATTTATGTAATTATATTTTAAGAATTGCACTTGTTTGTGACATAAAATAAAATTTTATCAAGTATCGTTGTACATATAATATCACATCATGTTTCATAAAAGTTAATTATATTATAGCTAATCATAATATCACAAAGAAGTTTAAAAACAAAAGTCTAATTATAATAATATCATCCCAAATCTAATTATAATAATATTATAAGTCTAATTATAATATCACAAAGAAGTTTAATGATGAAACTCGTTGATGAAAAAGGAAACAGAAATCTAAAAATTTAATCAGAGTTTGCAAAATGAAATGTATCAAGTTTTATGTTGTGTTTAAATTTTTCGCTGATTACTGGTGTAAAACCATCATTGGAGTTTTTTCTCCGTTTTTGTTAAATTACTCTTTGGAAATGCATTTAAAACAGCACCTATAAAATAAAAATAAAAAATAAGGAAATAAAATCGATAAGTTTATATACATTGCTTAATACATTAAATAGTTTGTGAATTATATAAATTTTAACTTGCTTTTAACAGCTGATTGCCTCATGAAGTTTTGTATTTTCGAATTTAAGTTTGTCACCTGATCCTGAATAATTGACCATTCGAGCCAAAGAATTTGATATTACTTTTGGTAATAAACGGCCAACAGCTGCATATTCATCAGTCTGTTCATTAACCTTCATTAGTTTAACAAAATAATCCACCTTAAAAAAAAGAAAATTTAAATTTATGTGTCACTAACTACGTAGGTATACAGGGTATCCTAGAATATTTAGGATTATTTTCATGTACAAATAGAACAGATTAAACTGATTGTGAGAATTCCTGTCAAAATTCCTTTATCAATTTTGCAATTTTCGCAACATAAATTAACGATTAAACGAGCGGATATTAAGCGCGCTTTGGCGATATTTAAAAATTAATATCTTGTCACAAAAATTGCAAAATGATAGAGGACTTTTCGATTCATTTAGTCCGCTCTATTGCCATACAAAAGTATTCTTGGACATAAATAAATATTCTGGGTAAATATTCTGGGACATTTAAACTGATAAAACTTCTCTTTATTGTAATCAATAACAAATATAATGAAATTTAAATAAAATATAATGCACACAGAGAAATCAGTTTCATATTTACAAGTGATAAAAGTGCACTTACTACAGGGTAAAAGTTATCATCACTCAACAAGAACTTTTGGATTTCTAAGAATGAGTCTTCATTATTTAAAGGAAGTGTAGGAAGATTTCTCGGCTTAATGATTTTTTCCTCTTCTGGGGCTACTTTACGATAAATTCTATTAAGCATCAAAATAACATGATCTATTTTACCATTCATTTTTTCTTGCCTATCAACTACAGTTTTAAGAACGGCAGTAACATGGGGATCTAAAAATTATAATGTTAATGATTTTGTGAAAGTCAAATGAAAATTTAGAAGATGAAAAGGAATACTCATAAGATACATTTGTGCGTGCGTTTATGTAAGTATATTATTCATCAATAGAAACAAATATTTTATTAATATAAGAAGTAATATGATTTACCTGAGTGCGTACGAACATTTTTCATTAAGGATGGTAAGGAAGCTGAAACATAATTTAACAACAAAATATCAAGATAAACATACAATAGCGAAATTAATATAAAATCAATATAGACAATGTTAAAGTCAAGGATTCAAAAATAACTATACATTTATGATTCGATTGAAGTATCACAGTCTTAGAAGATGAAGCAGTATCTTTAACTGTATCATTAAGAGAAGTCGTGCTTTTTCCACAGGATATCCTGGTAAAAATATTTCTTATAATTTTTATACGAATTGGAACATTTTTCAGAAATATTCAGAAGTATTCAGAAAGTTTATCTCATCTCTCAGAATTTTTATGTGAATTCTAAAATATTCTAAAATTTTTCATCTCATAATTTTTAAAAAATATTTTTAAATTTTTTAGATTTTATAACATTTCATTAGAAATTATACTTACAAAAAATCTTAGAAATCTTACGATATTTCATAATTAACATATATGGAAAATTCTGAGAAAAGATGTACATTTTGTGAAAAGTATATTCCAATTCGTAAAAAAAATGTGAGAAAGTTATAAAATTATGTAGAAATTCTGAAAAATTATATGAAAAATTTAAAGAAAAATTTTTACCAGGGTAACGATTCATATGGTGGTGATTTATTTTGAAGAGATGTGGCTTCTAAAGATGAGGGATTTTCATATCCTGTAATAATAAACAATAAGAAATAAATATTAAATATTAATATTAATAATATTTGATAAAACAAAATAAGTTATATTAAAAATATAACCACGCTATTTTCATCATACATTAAAAAATAAAGTAAATATAATTAAAAAAGGCTAACATTTAAAACAGGATCTAGAAATTGTAACTTACAAGTAAAATTTTATCCATAGATAAAATATATCGGAAATTATTTCATCAATTTTGCGTTATGTTAATGTGGATTATTAAACAAGGTTTAAATATATAAATACATGATTTGTACAATATATAACTTACCATCTTGTGAAGAAGATAATTGTTTATTATCTAAAAGTGTTTTCACTTTATTTCTAATATCCTCTGCTGTAGGAACTGCTTCTTCATCACTACTGTCGTTAACAATGGAATATTTCTCGGAATATTTTTGGTTTTTTGATTTCATTTGATCGAAATCGTTGTCAGAATTATCAGACGATGTGATATATTTTGCAGGTTTATGCCTTTTCCGAGGTTTATCTATATCTGTTTCTCCAGCAGCCGTATCAATAGCACTATCTTCTTCAGCTTTAATACTAGCCTTGCGTGCTTTTGCATATGTGTTCTGTTTCTCCAGCAGCCGTATCAATAGCACTATCTTCTTCAGCTTTAATACTAGCCTTGCGTGTTTTTGCATATGTGCCTGACATAAAAATTTGTTGTAGGAACGCATACTAAAATAACTGTCTCAAATATGTATTTTTGGTAACGTTTTGGAATATTAACATTATTGTTTAAAATAAAGATGTACGCTTCATGACAAAAGCAGTACTAATGTATTTTATATAAATAAACAAACCGTTAAGTGAGATAAATATAAAATTGTTTTATGTTTAATGAATGATAAAAATAGTGATACAAATAGTGCTAATAGCGTGTTTTCTCTGAACACTCTTGCTATTAAATGGAATTAAATCATAGCGAAAAGAAATATCTCATGCGAAATTAAAAATCAGTGTCTTTTGGACGCATGTAATATTAGTTGCAGCAAAAATTATTATATACTATATATCATATAATTACAATAGTAAGTACCTGATTATTGAATTAATATTTGATAAAAATTTCAATTAGGGGATCCCCCAATGACCTTGATCTTGACATATGTTGTCAAGATCAAGGTCATTGGAGAGAGTCCTTTGATCGAAACTACCTAATATTTTAATACAAATTATGTTATCTTATAAAAAGTCTATTATTGCATGTATTACTGCATTACTGCATGTATAAAGAATACTCACTATATTCATACATAATTTGTATTGGCATATCTTCGAAATCATGTTTTGGTTCCGTTAGACTCATAACCCATCTATTAATTTTATCGGACTGATATTTTTTCGGTGGCCATTTACATATATCAAATTCATAGTCTATCCATGAAGATGGGACCACGGCTACAGTTTCTTCTTCCATGTTTTTGAGAGGAAGAAATTTCACAACAGCGTACTACAACGCAAACCATTAATATATCACATATTATAACAAACAACACAAAGTGTAAGACTCAATAAAAAATATAAAAAGATAAGCATACTTTAATAAAAAAATGGGATTGTAGAGTTTTGAATCGATTGATATACCGGGTGTCGGTAAATAATTGTCATGTAAAGATAAAAGGCAACGGATGGGAAAAAGCCACCGTAGTTAGTTGGTTGAACCTTAAAGCAAAGGCTATAGAAAGTTTCGAGTTGATCGATACACCGAGTGTCGATAATTATTGGTAATAAAGATTAAAAGTTGAGGGATCGAAATAACCGACCGTCATGCTGATGGGTAACACCGACTAAGTGTACCGTATAAATTTTAGACCGATCCGATAACCGGAAGTG